GATGGGAATGACGGGAATTTGGCCCATTGTTAAAATATCTTAATGTAGAAACAATGTAGGAAAATTGAACTATGACCAGGTTCCTTTATTATGGGCTGATTTGACTCTAAACTGACCCCTCTTAAGTTAGTGAAGCTAGACAGGTGTGAAAGAGAGAGCACACAGAAGCCAGGACTATTTAAACTGCTTGATCGAGTAGGAACCATTTTGCATCTATTAATAAATGCAATGTTGTTTGAAAGAAAAATTATTTTCGTATAGATATATATAAAATATAGATGGGCTTAGATCTCTGAGAGATCCACTTCAAAGAGCCTTGACTTACTGGAAAGTTCAGACTGAACCAGATTTTTGGTGTTCAAAGACCATTGCTTAAATAGGCCTAAACTCTGGCAAAGCTACTGATTTTAGGAAAATGATGTATCTGTTGGTGCAAAACATCAAAATGTGGAGAATTTTTACTTGACTGAGAAAAACTTTCCAAACTGCATACATTTATCATGACCCATTGAACTTAGAGCCTACAAGTCTGGAGCTTGACATGATTTCGTAACAGCCCTTCTTTAAATTTGCTGCCATTTATGCTGATAATTCAGGTCAGCATTTGGAAGGATGAGCAAAACATGAAAAAAAAGGTATTCTAAAAATGTGTTTCAAAATTAATTAATGCATATATGCTGGGGCAATAGAAATTAATACCACTGCCTAATTGTTTCCTTCTACTCTGGTAATTTTGGACTTATTTCTCTCTGACATCCAATCTAATCACATTTGAGGTACTCCTCAGCTTCTACTGTTACTGAACCTTTCCTGCTTCTGCAAGTTAGACCACATCTTTACTTTCCAGGATATATCAGTGGCACTAAGAGGGAAATATGAAAGCATAATGGTAACATTGAAGCTGAGTTGATATGTTCCACATTCAGCTGGCTAGTAAAAACTCACCTTTTTTTTTTGTTGTTGTTGTTCTCTTATTAACCGTTTCACATTTTCTTTCGAAATGTAGGAGCCTTATGAATTGCAAGAGCTACACTGTAGGTGAGAGTTACTTGCGCTTTTACCTCTTCCAGGATAAAGTCATCACCTTCATCAATAAACCTCTAGTGCTATTTTTGGTATGGTCTGCTGGGCTCAGTGCCTCCTGGGGGTTCTTCCAAACCTCGCTGTGCTGCCTTGTGTGGACTCCATAGCAGTCAAAATGTGATTAAGTGTGCTGCCTGAGAAATATGGGAAAAGTGATCCAACACAACTCATTTACTATTCTGAAACTGTTTTTCTTGATTCTGCTGTGGTTTATCCAGATATTTAACATTTTCTGATCCACTCTCTTTCTTGCTATTGGTGCTTGGTAAGGACATAAATGCTGTCATGAGAAGAACTAAGCTGCTGATTGCTTAGCTTGGGTTCTTCTTCCCTCTTTGATAATAAACATAATTCTGGCACCCTTCCATTTCCAGAAGGCCAAGTAAAAAAGTTGCTGCCCTTCTTAGAGAGCCTGACAATGAAAGGGATTTGGTAGAGCTGTCAGAAATGGGGAGATTAAAGTGAGGCTCACAGTTTGTTATCTATGCACATGAACAAGTGGCTTGATTTTTAAAAAAAAAAAAAAAAAAAAAAAAAAAAAGACATTTCTGCGGCATGGTTGAAACTTTGGTACTAATCATTTAGTTGCTGCAAAGCACATGCCAAGGTTTCAGGCAGAAGAATTGCTTGTATCATTTCCTACACACTTTGCAGAGCAGCAATTAGCAGCGCAGTGGCATTAACACAGGACATTTTTACACAAGCTTTCAAAGTAAAATCAAAAAGAATCCCTAAAAGATCAACTACTTGTAAAATGTGAGAGGGAAGCTCTAGACCTGATCTTTTGGAGGTAGGTGCAAGGCTTTGATTGCAGGCAGCACGACTATTAGAGCCACCTGCCACCTTCTACAGGGAAACCTCCTGTCTTCTGCATTCGACCTTTGTGTTGCCTTCCCTGAATGGGGATGGATGCCACACATCTTCAAGTGCCCTCTCATCCACATTTGCTGTAAACACCCAGAACACCTGTTTACTCTGACTCACCCACTCCTCACGCAGACTCTCCCTTTTTTTGACAGCAGACCTCACTCAGGTAGTATGTGCTGCTAATATCCTTTCAGGGCCGTGTAATAACATGCCTTCTATCCAATTCCTAACATCCTTCAATCAGCTCAGCCAGTGGGCTAACTGCTTATGCTCCTGTGATTTATATAAGTGCAATTAATTTAAACTGCATCACTCCAGTGTAATGCTGGTGAAAATACCCTGAGAGGGAGTACCTCACTGGTGAATCAGACCCTTTACTTTTAAAAAACATACAAAAGAACAGATCCTGAGCCAGTGAAAATCTGCATGGCTCCATTCATTTCAACACACAAACCAGCTCAAAGTCTGAATCACAGCTCATGTAACAGACTATTTAGATACAGACTAATGCCTCACATCCTGAAATGCAATGCTTTCCCAGAGTTGGCAGAGGACAGGGACTTCTCAGATGGAACAGAGCTAAGAGGGAAGCAGGACCACAAATGCAACCTTCTAAAAATGTTTTGTGGATTTCTTCATTTCTGTGGAGTTAAGGAAAATAACGACTTGTTTCTCTGCAAGCACTGCTCTCCCTTCTGAGAAAAGCCACCTCTGTTCCTTTTGCCTCAGCTGCAAAGCAGGTACCTGGGAAGTACCTTTCCTTGACACTCTCCCTTTCTTCCCATAGCCTGGGTATGTTCCCCACCATTTAGAAATCCATATGACACCTTTCATTAACAGACACCAGAGTTAGATGCTGAACAGATTAATCTTTTTAATCAGTTCTTGCAAATGGCTAGCTTTCCCTGCACTTGTTTTGGCATTCCCCAAGATTAAGAAGTCATGCAGCTTGACAAAGCACTTTGCTCTTGCATGTCTTAACAGACCCACAGGGCTTTTTTTTTTCCCTTCACATCTATTCCAACACCTGCTGCAAAAATGGGCGGGGGTGGTCTCTGTAAAACATCCCTCCTTGCCTCCTCCCAGCAGAAGAGAGCCCTAGCGTCACACCAGCACAGCATACCAGTATGTGCCCAGGCAGGTGTAGTTAATACACAAGGAGGGGGGAAGGGGTGGGGAAGGCAGACCAAGAGTCAATCAGAGTGTAATTTGTGTTAGAAATTTACCAGCATCCAGCTGTCCATATTTCCAAAATGCAAATATTTTAAAATTAAAAAACCTATCTGTGACTAAATATCTCCTCTAATTCAATCTAGATAACCAGAAAACTCTGTGGCACATTTAAGAGGCTTTCATCTTAAATGAAATACACAACACAGATTACACCTTCATAGGAAATCAAGAGGTCCTAAATATACTAATGGAGAAGGACATTTAAGAGACATTAAATTACCCAGTCTATAATTTTAGGGGGTTTGCTTATCTGTGCATCTTTTTACTGCTTCGGATAATTAGGAAAATTTCCTTGGCAGTGTCCTAAGAGGATAAGCAAAAGAGTGACATAACTACTCCCAAGGAAGGAAAGGTCGAGGTTTTGCATTCTGCAGATTTTTAAAGTAAAAGAGAAAGTATTCTTCATATGAGCAGTCTGAAGCAGTATGCATATTGTATGCTTGGAAATGTAATCCTGTACAAGGCTTCTCCCTCTCCTTGGTCACTTACAGTATCTGCCTGGTCCTTCTGCCTGGAAGAGTGCAGGTTAGGGAGGCTGGCTGCTCATCTCCAGCCTTTCCTAAATGCAGCCACTCAAAGGAAGCTCCCAAATGGAGCAGGCACCCAGTCAGTTCAAAGGCTTCTATTAGCTCTGCCA